TCCTGCTGCGGGACTACTACTGCGGGGTTGTATTCCAGGTGTTCTGGTTTGCTCTGGCCCGTTCACTGGTGACTGCAGCATTGTTACTGAGGTGACCCTTTCCTAGTGATGACCAGGCCTGGGCAGGAGTACTGATCTTTGTTGATCCAGTGCTAAGGTTGATCCTCCATTAGCAATAGGAGACAGAGTTCCACAGAGGCCTTTGAGAAGACACTAAAGCGTAAAGCCAAGGCGTATTGAGCTCATCCTCGTTAAAAGAAAGGTTCCAGCTCTTTGCAGGCTTATGGTGATGCATTAGTTTCCTGGGTGAGGTGCCGGTGCCCATTAAGCCAGAGCTTTCCCCTTTTGTAAAGGGCCCCGTTCTTTGTACCGGGGGTTGTACGTTTTGTAGCAGGAAGGTGTTAATCCTTTGAACCTGGAAGGAACGGCCACAGCCTCCTGGTCTCCCTGCTCGTCGTCGTCCTCCGCTCCGTGCTGTCCTCTGCGCCGCAGTCACACAGCTTCTCTGAAAGCACCTGGTCCTCTCGCTCCCCTGCTCGGGGGCCTGCGCTGCCTTCCTGTGGATTTGAGTGCAAACTCTTTCCTACTTTTGGCATCTGACTGGGAGATAATCATTCAGATTTCAACCAGAGTCACGTCGATCTGGATCAGGCCTCAATTTTAACCACCTCTTGTTGGCCTAATTCCCAGCGCCCCGGGTGCTCCTGAGGCCGTGGAGCTGGAGTCTCCAGCGGGTCTTCCCTTCCGCCTTCCCGCCCCCAGACCCACTTTGCCCGCTTGGTGCTCCCCTGGGAAGCACCTACGCTTCATGTCATCCATCTCTTCAACAGTTCCATAGGTTAATGTGATTTTTATTTTATTTGGATTTTTCTTTGCGTTACCAGGGGAGTGAAAGTCTTTCACATCCTTTTATAACCTCTCGTTGCCGTCAGAATGTAAGTCCAAATTCCTCACTGAGGCTTACCAGGCCTCTTGTGATCTTGGCAGATGCTGTTTTACCTTCTTAGCCTCATTTATTTGCACCCTCATCTTAAAAGAATTTGTGCTGAACCTGTTTCAGTTCCTCAGAGGCACTATTTTTGTAACTCCTCCGCTCAGATACGGTGTCTGCTGGTCTGTACCCAGCACTGTCCCTCACCCCAGCCTTCTGCCTGTCACCTGGCCAATCCTCCTTCATTTGGACTTGATGGCGCTGTCAGTTACTTATTCCTGGAAGCCTTCGGCCTAGTCCAGCCCCTGTAATCTGGGTTTGATGCCTTTCTAATATACTTTCATAGCATATTATACAAACCATTATCATCTAATTGCCTATTTACTTTTCTGTTTTCCACCCAGATTATGAATTATTTGAGGGCAGCACCTGAGTCTCCTTTCCCATTCCATTCCCCCTTCCTAGCATGGGGACTCATTTTTTACAGGATACAAGGGATAAATGAATAAATAGATGCATGAACACTGGTACTAATCTTTACATAACCAACATTGACCAGTGTAATATTCTGTTGTTGGTAGCACTTTACAAAGATGCAGAAACATTCTTCATGAAATTGTCTTATAGCTACCATTGATAAAAGCTGCAGACATGAGTTTCTCTAATATTACAAGAGACTTTTCTGGTGCTCTAGCTTAAGAATCAGCTTTTTTTTTTTTATCAGCAAGTCAGGATCAACTAGTGGATGGTAAAACCAATTAATGGATCATACCATCATTTAAAAATAATGAAATTCAGAATGGAATAGAATAACATATATCATGTACATCACATGTAGTAAGAGTATTAATTGTTATGTGATATTTTTCCAGTTTTTATACACATACACACACATACACAAAACATAAATGGTTGCATATGAACTGTGTTTCTTGTTTTCTCACTGTGTTATAGTCAAATAAGTTTTTGAAAACCATTGCCTTAAATCACCCCTCTTAAGCCCCACTTATCAGAGCTAACCCAGGAGTGTGGACTCCAGGGATTTATGTGTAGGTACTCTGTATTGTTTGGAAAATGAGACCTTTGTACTATTTGAATCCAAGTGTCCGTTTTCCGCTTTGTTGCTTACTTCTTGAAAGTTTGGGTATTTGGATTAGTTCAGTAACTATTAGTTCAATAACAATTAGTTTAATAACTATTTTCTTTTTTGAAAATACTTCCTTACATATATTTGGGTAGGGAGCTGTGGTCAGGATGAAGAGGCCCTGGCAGTGTTGCCCAAAGAGACAGCCGTGACCTGTGTTCATCTGCTAGGAGTCCAGGGGGGGCAGCCCGTTTCTCACGATGCAGTTTATCTTCTGTACGTGGTGTGGGTTTGTTGCTATGCTGCATGGCTGTTCTTGATTTGCAGGTATTCCCTTGGGCAAATCCCTCTCATTTCAGTTTTTCTTATTTTTTTTTTTTTTTTTCCTTGCGTTATGCGGGCCTCTCACTGTTGTGGCCTCTCCCATTTGCGGAGCACAGGCTCCGGACGCGCAGGCTCAGCGGCCATGGCTCACGGGCCCAGCCGCTCCGCGGCATGTGGGATCCTCCCGAAACGGGGCACGAACCCGCGTCTCCTGCATCGGCAGGCGGACTCTCAAGCACTGCGCCACCAGGGAAGCCCAGTTTTTCTTATTTTTAAAATTAGTATATTGTATATTAAAGGAAGTCATATTATTAGTCTTACAGCCTTTCAACATCTGTTTTTTATTAACATTCTTTTAATTTTTTTTAATTGATGTATAGTTGATTTACAGTGTTGTGCTAATTTCTGCTGTACAGCAAAGTGACTCAGCTACACACATATATACATTCTTTTTTTTATATTCTTTTCCATTATGGTTTATCCCAGGAGACTGGGTATAGTTCCTGTGCTATACAGGAGGACCTTGTTGTTTAGCCGTTCTAAATGTAAGAGTTTGCATCTGCTGATCCCACACTCCCAGTCCATCCCTCTCCTTCCCCCTCCCCCTCGGCAACCACAAGTCTGTTCTCTATGTCTGTGAGTCTGTTTCTGTTTTGTAGATAGGTTCATTTGTGCCGTACTTTAGATCCACATATAAGTGATATCATACGGTATTTGTCTTTCTTTTTCTGACTTCACTTAGTATGATAATCTCTAGTTGCATTCACTTTGCTACAAATGGCATTATTTTGTGTTTTTTTTATGGCTGAGTAGTATTCCACTGTATATATGTACCACATCTTCTTTATCCATTCATCTCTCGATGGACATTTTAGTTGTTTCCATGTCTTGGCTATTGTGAATAGTGCTGCTGTGAACATAGGGGTGCATATATCTTTTTGAATTATAGTTTTGTCTGGGTATATGCCCAGGAGTAGGACTGCTGGGTCATATGGTAACTCTATTTTTAAGTTTCTGAGGAACCTCCATAACTGTTTTCCATGGTGTGAATTTACATTCACACCAACAGTGTAAGAGGGTTCCCTTTTCTCCACACCCTCTCCAGCATTTGTTATTTGTAGACTTTTTAATGATGGCCATTCTGACCAGTGTGAGGTGGTACCTCACTGTAGTTTTGATTTGCATTTCTCTAATAATTAGTGATGTTGAGCATCTTCTCCTGTGCCTACTGGCCATCTCTACGTCTTCTTTGGAGAAATATCTATTAAGGTCTTCTGCCCATTTTTCGATTGGGTTGTTTTTTTGTTGTTGAGTTGTGTGAGCTGTTTGTATATTTTAGAGATTAAGCCCTTGTCGGTTGCGTCATTTGCAAATATTTTCTCCCATTCTGTAGGTTGTCTTTTCATTTTTTTTTAAGGTTTCCTTTGTTGTGCAAAAGCTTGTAAGTTTGACTACGTCTCATTTGTTTATTTTTGTTTTTATTTCTATTGCCTGACCTAAGAAAACACTGGTGCGATTTATGTCAGAGAATATTTTGCCTATGTTTTCTTCTAGGAGTTTTATGGTGTCGTGTCTTATGTTTTAAGTCTTTAAGCCATTTTGAGGTTTGTTTTTTTGTGTGTGTGCATGGTGTGAGGGTGTGTTCTAATAACTTCAGTGATTTACATGCAGCTGTCCAACTTTCCCAGCATCACTTGCTGAAGAGACTGGGAAACACATTTTAATATATTTTTCCCATTTTATATTCTTGTCTCCTTTGTTGAAGATTAATTGACTGTAGGTGTGTGGGTTTATTTCTGGGCTCTCTATTCTGTATGTCTGTTTTTGTACCAATACCACACTGTTTTGATTACTGTAGCTCTGTAGTACTGTCTGAAGCCTGGGAGAGTTATACCTCCTGGTTTGTTTTTTCCCCCTCAGGATTGTTTTGGCAATTCAGGTTTTGTTTGTTTGTTTGTTTGTTTGTTTTTTTAGTTTTATGTAAATTTTTGGATTATTTGTTCTAGCTCTGTGAAAAATGTCATGGGTAATTTGATAGGGATTGAATTAAATCTGTTGATTGCTTTGAGTAGTATTGCCATTTTAACAATACTAATTCTTCCAATCCAAGAGCATGGGATATCTTTCCATTTCTTTGAATCCTCTTAAATTTCCTTTATTAATGTTTTATAATTCTCAGCATATAAGTCTTTCAGCTTCTTGGTCAGGTTTATTCCCAGGTGTTTTATTTTTTTGGTGTGATTTTAAAAGGTTTTTTTTTTTTTTTTTTTTACATTCCCTTCCTGATTTTTCATTTTTAGTGTAAAAAAATGCAACCAATTTCTGAATGTTAATCTTGTATCCTGCTACTTTGCTGAATTCATTTATTAGATCTAGCTGTATTTGTGTGGAGTCCTTAGGGTTTTCTATATATGGTATGATTTTCTTTGCATATAGTGACAATTTTACCTCTTCCCTTCCAATTTGGATAACTTCTATTTCTTTTTCTTGTCTGATAGCTGTGGCTGGGACTTCCAATACTATGTTGAATAGAAGTGGTGAGAGTGGACATCCTTGTCTTGTTCCAGATTTTAGCAGGAAGGCTTTCAGCTTTTCACTGTTGAGTATTATATTGGCTGTGGGTTTGTCATAAATGGCTTTTATTATGTTGAGGTATGTTCCCTTTATACCCACTTTGGTAAGAGCTTTTATCATGAATGGATGTTGAATTCTGTCAAATGCTTTTTCTGCATCTAGTGAGATGATCATGTGGCTTTTTACTTTTCTTTTGTTTATGTGGTGTATTACATTGATTAATTTGCATATGTTGAACCATCCTTGTGAACTTGGGATGAGTCCCACTTGGTCATGGTGTATGATCTTTTCTATGTGTTGTTGGATTCAGTTTGCTAACATTTTGTTGAGAATTTTTGCATCTATACTCATCAAAGATACTGGCCTGTAATTTTCTTTTCTGGTGGTGTCTGTCCGGTTTTGGTATCAGGGTGATGGTGGCTTCATAAAATGTCTTTGGGACTGTTCTCGCCTCTGCAATCTTTTGGAAGAGTTTGAGAAGGATCAGTATAAGTTATTTGCGTGTTTGGTAGAATTTGCCCGTGACGCTATCTTGTCCTGGACTTTTGTTTGTAGGGAGTTATTTTTTTATTTTTTTATTACAGATTCTATTTCACTTCTAGTGATCGGCCTGTTCGAATTATCTATTTCTTCTCGATTCAGTTTTGGTGGGCTGTGTGTTTCTAGAAAGCTGTCCATTTCTTCTAGGTTGTCAGATTTGTTGGCATATAATTGTTCATAGTATTCCCTTATGGTTTTTTGTATTTCTGTGGTATCGGTTGAGATTTCTCCTTTTTCATTTCTTTTTATTTGGTTTCTGTCTCTTTTCTTCTTGGTGAGCCTGACCAGAGGTTTGTCAATTTTGTTTACCCTTTCAAAGAACCAGCTGTTGGTTTTACTGATAAACATCTTTTTAATATTTAAAAGTTGACAGAACAGACATACTGTTCTGTAACTGGTAATTTTTCTTTTTGGGGGTGGGGGGGTGAGGGGTAGAGCAGGTCAAAATGAAAGGCTTTCCTTTTCTTTTTCGTTCTACTGGATGGTGGCAGAAGAGAAGCATTTTTATTCAAATAGGGTTTAAGAGGATGAGATGCCTGCTGTGATTGGGACAGTTAGTTACCTATGAAACTTTCCTTGACAGGGCATCAGGCAGACACTTTAAGGGAAATGTCTGTTTATGGTGAACACATGTCCCCTCACACAGGCTCTTTCCTGGGATTGGTCAGTAGAGCAGGAATTTGGTTCAGCACGTAGGTGTGAGGCCCTGAGTCACTGATGGACACTAGATTTTTAAGAGAGAGGCAGTTTATGGTGAGTTTTCAAACTTGCAGTTTTCCCTGTTTTATAGGTCATAAGCACTTTTTTTTTCTTCTTGTACGGTCATATTTCCTTGTATCACCTTAAACAAAGAGCTTCTTTTTCCTCCTGTTTGGTCATATTCCATCCCGACTTCTGACATCTCAGCACGGGAAGGGAGTGACTTCTGTGTCGCTGCATCACCAGCCGTGGTCGCTGGTGTTAGTTATATGGCACTGAACTGTGAGCCCAGCTGAGCAGGAATCGACATGTTTGCATCAGGGGTCGTGCTCACGTGCTCTGTCCTCTTTCCTTCCCGACTAGACTGATTCATAGAACTCTCCCTCCCTGCGGAAGAGCTTTGCAAAGGCAGCTTTGTTCTCACTTGTTGGATCATTAGACTTTTACTAAGGGCTTACTGTATGTGAGACCCTGTATTTGGCTATGGGAATATATGGATAAATTTTAGATAGTTTTGCCTTCAAGAAAGTTGTTGCTTATTGGGAATGAACTTGTGAACCATATCAGCCCTGTCAGCTATTGGGTTATTCATGATATGAGAAGATCCATTACTACTCTAGGACCAGAAGGGAAAGCAGAAACCAATCTATATTTTTTAAAAGAGGAGAATTTATTGCAGGAACTTGGTACAGATGTATTGGAAAGGGCCAGAGGAATAAGAGGGAGCAAGTGGCTTTACCCAGAGCTCAGTAACTATAGGAAGCGCTGTTGCCTCTGAGGCTGAAGGAGCAAAGGGTGCTGGTTTCTGGGGCCTACTGATGCAGGTTGCTGTGGCCGCTGCTACTGTCGGGTTAACAGCACTGCATCTGGGGCAGACCTGGGATGGGCTCCAGGTCACTGCTGCTTTGGGACCATCACCGACGCTCTGCCATCCCATGCCGGCTGTGCTGGAGCCTGTGGCTACCCACGCCCCATCACCTGCCTCTGCCACAGAGACCACCAGAGCCAGAAGCAGATGGCCTCCCCCAGTACTGGGCCCTTTGTCGTCAGGATGAAGCCAGGACCCATCTGGCCAGGGAGTCTGGAAAATATTGTAGAGTTTCTAGCCTCCTGCAGTGCTGAGGAGAGCACAGAAAGGTGGGGATGGCTGTGAGTTCCACCAGAAAGTACCCAGCGTATCTAGTCAAGCAGCGTCTTAGCACTATTTGAGGCAAATCCATCTCTTTCTCCCTCTCTGTCTCTTTTTTCCCCTCTTTCTCGAAATTACCTGAAGGAAGCTTCTGTGGACTGGAATCACCTGGACCATGCATCGTTTTTTTCAATTAGATTTGCTCTCATTGTCAGTCATCACCTGTATAACTGAGGTACCTAGTATTTCTGGGCGCATCTACCTGCTGGGAATGTTGGCGGATTTTGTTACTGATCTCATCGAGAGTGTGTAAACTTAAGAACTATTCTAATTTTCCAGTGACATACTAGAAAGAGAACACTGCCAAGTGTTAGTGTATAGGATATATATAAAGAAATAAAATTGCCTATTAGATAGGCAAACATATTTAAAAGTGCCTTTCTTTTCATAGAAACACAGAAACATTTTCCTCAGAATAACAAATATAAAACACTGCTGATGTCAACATCTTTATCAGAAATGTAGCTCTGAACTCTGTTTCCTTATTGAGATTACCGGTTGTGAGGAGCTAACCTCCTTCTCTGTCTGCTCTGGCTTCCCCCAGGATGGTCTTCAGCAGAGAGGCAATCAGGAGACTTCTCGCCAGCAAGTGTCGCTGCTACAGCAATGACGCTCCAGATGATATGGTCCTGGGGATGTGCTTTAGTGGGTTAGGAGTCCCTGTGACACACAGCCCTCTCTTCCATCAGGTGAGAAAAATGTTTTTATTCCTACCTCAGAGGGAGAGAGGGGGTTTTTCTTCTCACTTGAAGGTACTGCTACTTTCCCTTCACCTGTTCTTCTGGAAACAGTCTTAAGAACTGTGTGGACAGGCTCCAGGGGGAAATCCTTAACAGACCTCTTCGTGCAGAGGGTTGATGCTGTACCAGGTACAGCATGAAGATGGAATGCAGAAACATCTAAAAAATGAAATGGTGTTTGACCAGCATCCTTGCATGTAGGCTCAGGTAAAAGCTGTTCTTCTTTTTTTCTTTGAGTTAAAAAAAAATTGATGGTATTTAAAAATTATCAGATGCTATTTAAAAATATACAGGACTGACCTAACGTTGTCCCGCTAGCCACCAAGTGTTTGCAGTTCTACACTGTCCTCAGTCCTTACACTGGCTATTGGGCTTTCTCCCCTTTGGTTGCTATTAAACTGACAGGCTAAACTTAATTAAATTTCAGTATAATATCTCAATAAGCATATACTCTGGGGGTTATAAAAGAGATGAGGTGCTGTTTACCAGAGGTGGGTGGTGCTGATAGTTTCACCATCCTGCAGTGTGGGGTAAGAAGGGAATCCTTTTGCAATCTTTTTAGTAGTTTCTTTTTTGAAGAATTGGGTTAGTGAATATTCTGATCAGTGACTATCCTGATGCTGTTAAGAATAATAGCAGATATATCTGCACTAAAAATAACCAGAGCCCACATTCACTTAATGCTCTCCTTTAAGAAATCCAAAGCTTTTTGAAATTTGAATGCATAGGTATTTAAAGTGCCCTCCCTTACACTGAAAATGTAGTCTTCATGCTTTATTTAGTAACCAGTAGCAAGCGCTATTATAGCCATATAGAGAATTGGGCATGACAGAAATGGCACTATAGGAGATCACTTGAACGAGGCAAAGAAAGTGCTTGCATTACCAAGAAAGGCAGAATCCATTTCTGCATTCTTGAGGACTGCAAGGAAAGATGAAGATAGACGTTTATAAGAAGAAATGTATGAGAAACCTCCCTCCTGGTACTAGTCAGAAGGTACTTGGCCATGTTTTAAAACCTTGAGCCTATGTGTGGTATTACAGGACTTAGAAAAGCAAGTTATTCTGTCTTACCCTCTCTCTATCTCATAATGTTTCACTCACAGAAAGGAAGGGTAATTAAAACTGTTGGTGTATAAGGGAAATAATTTATCACTGTTACTATCAGAATCTTAGGTTTTTATGTATTTTATTATTTATTTATTTCTGGCTGAGGTGGGTCTTCGTTGCTGTGCGTGGGCTTTCTGTCGTTGCGGCGAGCGGGGGCTACTCTTCGTTGCGGTGCGCGGGCTTCTCTTGTTGAGGAGCACGGGCTCTAGGCCTGTGGGCTTCAGCAGTTGTGGCACATGGGCTTAGTTGCTCCGCGGCATGTGGGATCTTTCTGGGCCAGGGCTCGAACCCGTGTCCCCTGTGTCGGCAGGCGGATTCTTAACCACTGTGCCACCAGGGAAGACCCGGTCTTAGGTTTTCATAGCCGCCTTTTTCACTTAGGGAAGAATATGTTACTAAATGAAAATGATAAGGATTATTTTCCTTCTTTCTTTTCTCCTTATGTAAAAGTCCTTTGAAGATAAGTTAAAAAAAATTTTTAATTGTTGTTTCCCATACTTTAGAACTCTTGATTTCTCTAATTCACATAATAAATTTTAAACCTTTCCAAAGTCATAAAGTATATGCTCAAAATGTATCCTCCCCAACAGACACTGCTTTATCTTCTAATTCTTAAGCCTCTTTTAAGAGAGTTTGCTCTGATTTGGACATTACTTTCCATTTGTAATGTTTGAACACTGGTCCAAATAGTGTATTTGTTCATATTGAGAAAGAGATAAAATCTAGGATTCCTGGTAAGTTAGAGCAGGCATTTGGAAACAAGCTCAGATACAAAGTTGCCTGGGCCACATTTCTTCTCCTTTTAGTCAGGGAAGGTTATTGTGAGATCACAGGTTCAGAAGGAAGCCTCAAGGAATGTCTAGTATATCCCTCTGTTAAAAACAAAGTATCTAGAGCATGTGGTTTTCTGCTCTTCCAAAATTATATGCTACTAATGGGTATGGCAGTGTGCAATGGTCAGTGAATCCTCTGCACAGAATTGTCAAAATAACTATTTCAGGAATCTGGAAGTCAACCAAAAACCACTGAGAAGCATTAATTCCTGAAAAACTACTGTAATTCTGGGTAAGAGCAACAGAGTCTGGGGCCTTTCTGCCTGAACCCCCCCCCCC